AATTTTTAACTTCTTGCTTGAACATGTCCCATTTACAAAACACGTATAGGGAAGCGTTCTGTTTGACACGGGAAAGGATAGCGGGTATACCATCGGTGAATATTTTGTCGTTTAAGAGTGATGTGTTTAATTTCCACAGGCTCCATTCACGTCTTAAGGGGGGTTGTTTCTTTGTCCCAAAAGTTACCGATACAAGGCAGTGGACTGAGAAAAATATAGGTTTCACTGAGTAATCAGAAATATTGTCATAAAGGTCTCCAGTGACATATTTCCGGTCGAGTCGAGCGTGAGAGGAGCGTTGGGAATGTGTATAGTGCACTCTGCCTCGTTTTTGTTTTCCGATGTCTACTAAGTTGTTATCGCTCACAAGAGATTGGAGTACAGCTGCACTAGGGTCGAATCTAGTCGTTAGTTGGGAGCGATCGTTTAGATGTAGCACACAGTTGAAGTCTCCCAATAGCAACAGTTTTCTATCTGTGTCAATGTATGGTGTTAGAAAAAAAAAATGTTTGCGCGCTGTCGCATCATTTGAAGCGTACGCGCAAATAATGCGCAATTGAATGTTTACATGGTCTAGGTCGCAAGATATAAAGCGCACTACCTGGTCGGTAGTGAGAGAAGCAACAGTTAAACCCCCCCCCCCCCCCCAACCCCTTCTTTAGAAACAAAAAAAAACATCCAGCCGATGTGCCAGATGCATGAGTGACACACACTTCGAAATCTTTCAGGAAGGGCTCCAATGCGATCTCGGTTTGTTCCTGGCTGCACACTTTCGTTTCCTGCACAGCTAATATATTGATCTTCTGCTGGACTATTAGTTGTAGAAGTTGACACTGCTTCCGCTTAGAACTGAGACCTCTCACATTTAAGGTGGACACGCGAAGTTGGAGGGTGCTGGACATGCGATCATTTATGGTCGGGCGTTATCGCCCGTTTGCTTGTCTTCAACAAGCTTGGCGCCAGGGAGCGTCTTCGAATACGGCTTATGTCAAACAGCGCCCAGTCTCTTTTCATAGTGCTTTGCTCTAGTTATAAGGCCGGCATTTAATCCCACGTTGGTAAGCGCTTCTAGTTCAAGAATTGAGTCCTGTACCTCATCGTTTTCCTCCGTTTCGGTGTCTTCCAGGTTAGCCTCGGTGGTTGTTTCGCACTGTTTTTCGTTCGTGAAGACGTCCCTATTTGTTGGAGTCGCGGAGTTTGTCGGGGTGCTGTTTTCGGTTGCAGGCGAAACGGTGATTATTGGGTCTTCGCTAGAGGTAGTGGCCGACGTGAGGTTCTCTGGCACAACCGGTTTTCTGGAGGCCGATTGAGACCCACCGTCCAGGGCTCCTGCCTTTGCAGAGACGTCGCCATTAGGGTCAACAACTTCGCTTACATGAATGAGGTTCTCTGTTGTTGATTCTTCAGTTGTTCCCAACCTCAGCATGTCAGCGTAGGTCATGACGCAGTCCTCCGGTTATGCCCGTACCGTCGGCATTTCGCACACCAGGGAGTCCGGCAATGGCGGCGAATGTGGCCCACTCGATGGCATCGTAGGCACGAAGGAGGCCGACCTGAGATAAGAAGCAAGCTCTGGCACCCGAAGATGGTCATCAGGTGTGGAATCTTGTTCACGTTAGTGTCGTCTCGAATGGTCAGTTGTACTTCACGGTTGAGGGTTTCCATGTCCTCCATTCCTTCACATCTCCACTTTTCTCGCACTACGGAGCGTACTGTGCCGTAGGGTTCCATCGCTTCAACGATTCTTCGGTTTTCCATATAAGGTGGTAACCAAAGCAGTCTGATCTTCACCTCCTTTGTCCCTGGATCAACAACGAGACATTTCCGTCCTTTCACCTTCAGGTCTTCACATGCGACGAGCTTTGCTTTTGCAAGCGAAGTCGCACACTGGACCATCCACACATGAGACATTTGGTATTGTCCCATGGCGATTATATCCTTTAGATATACTTCAATTCAATTCAAGATCAAAGATGCCCTTGATCTCTGAAGTTCGGAGCTCGGTATGGTCTGGCAGCGAGATCCCCATGAAGGAAGACAGAATTTAGAACGAGGTTACCTGTAGGCAGACGTGGCATCAGAACACGGTAGTCGTCGATTGCAGTAATGGTAGCATCTGAATCTGTAGCCTGAATTCCTCGGCCAGAGGCCGATTTGTTTTCTTGAACGGAGAACATGAAAACGCAGCCTTTCGCTGCGGCGTCTTCTTTCTCCAGGCCACCGATCCCCCCAGACGACGTTGCAAAGGAGCAGACGACGCTGAGATAGGGGGTCGCGATCAGCCAATCAAGGCTCGGCGTTCTGACGTCACCGCTACTTCCTTTCTCATGCGCAGAAGACGAAAATGAGCCCATTTGCGAGGCGTATACCCTCCCCTCCTCCTCCTCAAGAGCTGCTCTCTAATTCGGTGTTACAGGGGTTTGTAAACGTCTTCCGTTTTTTTTTTTTTAATTCAGGTAAAATATATAGACCATTCCATTTAGTGCTCTCAGGGCGGTACCATTTTGTTCAACCGCAGCGCCCTCTCCGCACATCCGGGAAGTTCAGTGGGTTCGGCCAACACCACCTGTACGGCGGGGTAAAACGAGAGAGAGGGCACGCGCCCGACTCATCTAGCAGACAACAAACCGGGAGGTTGACGCTCTCCACCTTTGGGCTGTACCGGCGGGCTTTACGTAACATCGAACTCTCGCTCGTGGCTGCCGTTGCGAAGTGGTTAGCGTTCTTAGAATATTTATGGCTACTCAAAAATCAGCGTATAGCGCTCTGATGTTTTATTTCAGTAAATGATCAACTAGCTTTGCTGTTGATCATTTACTGAAATGATCAACAGATGCTGTTCCATCGTCGCTAGAATAGAAAAAAAGTTAATTATATTATTCGTCAGCAGCTTAAACAAAGCGCGAACTGGAAGGTAAGAAACGCCACTAACCTCTATGGACGCACAAGTCGCACCTGGATCGCGCAGTACTCCGCCTCGTACGGCTTCGAAGGGACGATGTAGTACTACGTGCCGTGCGCGATCTTCGACGTACTGTTGCAGCCGACCACGCAGCAATTGTTGCGGCTTTCTTGGTGTGGAATAGCCATCTCAGAAATTACAGCGCCAACCCACTTCAACGCACAACCAACGCAGCGACTGGCAGAAGCTCCCCGATGCAATGGACCCGTTTGCCGCTAGGGGCGCCCTGGTCGGGGCGCACGGTTCCTATAAACACGCGGCCCGCGGGCCGCATGCGGCCCGCAACTTGCTGGGACGCGGCCCGCAGGTGACCAGCTACGAGTCCCGGTTTCCATGACTCCAGCGCTAGAAATGACATGCGCCAGAGTGATCTCATATCGTCGATTCATTTTTGTTCGAAAAATAACTCTCATATTTTAACGTATTCACATGGTTTATACTTATTGTGTTGATTTGCTCTTTGTTTCGCTTTATTTTTTGCTTCTCATCTCTTTGTAATGTACTTACAATTCTGCTACTAGGGTGCAAGCGCGAACTCTTCGTTGAAGAATGCATCTCGGCTGCGCTAACTCCCGATCAGCAAAAGCAACAGCCAAAGATAAAGCTACGCGCTCTGCTCTCCTAAAAAACAATATCCAAATTAAAGTACAAGCATTTGTTCATAGTCTTGTATTAAAAATTGCCCGGAAAGCAAAACCTGTAAAATTAACTGATTGTTTGTTAGAGTCATCGTGTTGAGATTGACTAATTCCTGAGCGAATTGAGAAACGGGAATGACAGTACATGTACTTGATCTTGTTCTACTAAAATTCCCAGCACATTTGCGAGCCAGTGTCATTTTAATTCTTGTTATCACATCGTGTCAAGGCCCAAAGTAGTCCTATAAACAGATCATCATCATCATCATAAACTTTATTAATCGATAAAGTGAAAGGACCTTGCGATCTCTGGTCCATGCCCTTATAAACATAAAATCTAAAGCTGCCACTGGCAAAACTGTGGGTTTACAGAACGCAAAAAACACAAGGTCTCTTCTCTTTTAATCTTTGAAATCTCTCCCCCCCCCCTTCGCCTTACGTTGGCCCTCGGCCTTTCCTGTGTGCACTATCTGGCCCCCACACTCAAATGAGTTTGAGACCACTGATCTATTTGAGACCACTGATCTATATGACTCGTAAACAAAGGGATGTTGAGTCGTATGAACACGACGTTATATACGTGAAATTATAAATAGCTGAATTTCATATTTTTGGTACCTGAAAACACAAGTGAATTGCCCGGACGATAGAAGCTATATAGTTAATCGTTTCACGGCGTAAATACTGTCTATTGGCAGAACAACGCGGAAAATGTATTCTCAATTTAGCGGTTCAAACCGGTTTGAACCGTTATTTTTTGCTCCCCGGAACTGAACCGGAACCGAACCGAAAGCCGTGAACCCGAACCCGAACCAAACCGATAAAAATTTCGGTTCAACACTCTGCGTGATCTCATTCAGCACTGAGTCCTTGTTATCTAGGGGGTGTTGCTCAGCGCCTCCTCCTCTCTGGCTCCGCGCCAGCTGTGCGCGTAACTGACGAAAACCAAAGGGCTCGTTTTGACGAAAACCTGGCGGTGTCTTTCAGTTTGTCAGCTACTGGAAAAGAGGGAGAAGGAGGGGGAGAGCCTAGAGATTGACGCATGCTGACGCCAGCGCTTCGGACCAACGGGAGCGTCGTACGCGCCGTCCTCTCCCCTTCCTTATCTCTCTCTTCCTGTAGCGGGCAAACGAAAGACACCGCCGGGGTTTTGTCAAAACAAGCGTTCTAATGCTCACGCATTAAAAGCAAAACAAAATGAAAGTTGAGGCGTTTTCCTAGAGCCGTCTGTTCCTTCGGCTTGAAAGTTTCTTAATTTTTCCGCACCAACCGTACCGCAGTGTACATAGAGGCAGTGTATGTGGTTTTCTCCGCATCTAGTGGTATACAATGAGGTGACGACAACACTGTTATTTCGGTTTTCTCGGCTTCCACCTCTGGCAACAGTGCGCGAGCGTTCCAATTTTGGTTTGTTGTTTCTCGGAGACGTCATCGGCGCTGCCTACCGTAATCTGTCCAAAGGCTGATCGTCCGTGCTCCCTCCCGTGCGATATCACAAATTTCGCCCACTAGCGAAACAGTTTCATGAGAACTCATGCCATTACTAACTTCGCGGATGTTATGAGTGCATCGTAGAGGTCATGAGTCTTGAGGATCCATTCTTTGCCGTGAAAGAGTGAGTTGGAACGCTCCGTTTGCTCGCGTTTTACACTGCACGTTGATTCAATCAATCATAATTAGTCACGAACTTTGTGTTGTGCTGTTTCTTTAGGGACAGTGAGTCCAGGCGCTGTTTGAAATATCTTGACGACCTTCGCCTGTTTTGCTACTATGTCTCTTGTTCCAGGAAAGAACAGTGCGCCCAAATGCAGGTGTTTTGCTAGCTTTAAAGCTGGGGTGACGCGCGCGGAGGAATGCGACTTGTTTTTTTTTTGGTTCCCCAAACTCGAGACTAGCGTTACGGCTTATACGAGGCGCGAAAAGCTTCGATTCAGTGAACGCGTTGTCGCGTTCGACCGCTGTTCGTCACCTGCGACGACGACACGACACGAGGAAAAGTCAATAAAACTGGACTCCACGCAAGTTCGTTTGGAAACATTCATTGTCACGGAAGGTAGCAGGCAGTCGTGGAATCAACATTCCTTTTAGTAATCTACTGATCGGCGACGGGGTGCTGTACAAAGGTTCCTGTTTTTGTTTTGTTTTTTGCTTTGGGGATAATGTTGAGAGGCTCGGACCTCTACCTGAGGTTTATCGTGCGACGTCGTGATACGGGCGATATGACGAGATGGGAAACACACAGGAATGAGATCTTGTTCTTTGGAGTACTACCTTGCGCTCGCCTTGGATGTCTCGGCGATGGACACTCTAAGGTATGGGAGTTACAGAGCATGAAAAACCAATAGCAACACTTTTTTTTTTTTTTTTGAGCACTTCGATTGACGGTTACCTTTTTTTTTGAAAGGCCGGGGAGCACTTTTAAATGTAGCTGTTGGAGGTGTATTTATGTTTTTCTGTTTACTATGATTCAGACTTTCCCCTAGGTGACTGGCTAGCAGGCGCATCACATACGGGTTTCCACGTATCCGCTCAGCCTAGCACGTCACCCAGGGTAGTTTTTCTTATCTGCAAATACAATATTATTATTATTATTATTATTATTATTATTATTATTATTATTATTATTATTATTATTATGAACCCAATACAAGCTTTGCCTTGAGCGCAAGCTTTCTGCCTTTGATAGCACATTGTCAAACGTGCAGAAGGCAATGAGTGTGTGCTGGAGGCAGAGCATCTACGAAGTTCTTCACCTGTCACTGACTATGAGTGCACAAAATCACTCGCTAAAAATAATTGTTCTTTTTAAATATGAAAACAATAATGTGTTCGGCCTCAATAGTGATGGCAAAGTCTATCTTATCCGTAACAATCTGGATGAGCAGTCGTATCAAGTAAATTATGTGGGCATTACTTTTTACTTTGTATTGAAAGATCAGCTGCATCTCTGAGTAATTTCGCCGTTGATTCTTTTAGGAGAATATCACGTAAGTAAGTGATCCCTTTAACGTCTGGTGGCAGTTCCTTTTGCTGCATCATGCTGCTGCCATTCTTCGAAAGGGGGCTAAAACGATGACATTGTGATTTTCAGTGAAATTGTCAAGGCCATAGCGAAGAACAAGAGCCTCTTTGAGAGGTGGAACCAGTACCAGGACCCGTCCAGCCTGCCCTGCAAGGAAGAACTCGACTGGACCACGAACGAACTTCGCAACGGCTTGCGAAGCATAGAGTGGGACTTGGAAGATCTAGAAGAGACGATCGGTATCCTTTTACATTCAAGAAATGCCGAAGAAGCTTGGGGACGTGCTTGTCGAGCTTGTGCCCTTGCGCAACCTGACGCCGCTTTGCAGATTACTGCAGCTGTTCAAACTTTTTATGTTTTCCTGTCTACACCTACAGAGCCAAGGTGCAGCTGCACTTGTTAATTAAGTTGTGCTCAGAAAAGCACAAGCCACGAAAACCTGGGTGTGCCATTACACCATTACAATGGGGTTTTGATTTGGAGATCGACAGGATCTGCAGCTTGGGCAGGTCCTGCTGACCTTAAATACCGTATAATTTTTCTCAAATAACCCTGTTCGGGCTGTTTCCTTGAAAGAGACTTGCACCCGTATTCACCAGGCGCGACTAACTAGCGGCCTTTTAAGGTTAGTAGCACGACTAAGTAGTCGCGAGCTAAATGAGAAATCTGCAACTAACGAGCGATTATGTTTTACGGTATTCACGAGCGTGAAGCGAGCGGGTGACTATCTAGTCGGAACTAACAAGCGGAAGTGACGTAAAAAGATAGGTCACGCATATGCATACTTAAACGCCACTGCGTAAATGGGTATTTTATCGTATAAAAGCTAAACTTTAAATGTTTGTCAGGAAAAGAAAGTTACAATGAGAGACATATTGTCCGAGACGGAGCTTTACAAAGAAAAATTTAAAAACAACGCCAGGGAGAAACACGGAAGCCGCATTGCCAGCGACATAAACAAATATGGAAGCGCCTGTAAATGTGTTTTTTTTCTCGTCATCTAGTGCCCTGCCGAGATCTTTTTAGTGGTATCTCTGACCCCTGAACATGGCTACTTGCACATTATTTGCTCCTCCAATTCTTTCTAGATGTGTCCCCCAGCGTTCCGTGACAGCAAGTGCTTCGTTAGCACTGGCGTCCAGTGGTAATACGAGTCGGCCATGGCACTGAGCCGCTAGTCACCCGCTAAACACGTTCTAAACTAGCCCTACCCCATGACTAAGATTTGTTAGTCGACTTCTTATTTGCTTGGGGCGACTAGGCCCTAAACACCCTGAATACCAAGCGCTCACTTAGCGACGACTATCACTCGCCATGTGATCATTTTAGTCGATGACGTCACTAGTCGGTGGTTAAACAGGCGCTACTCGCGCCTGGTGAATATGGGTGTTGATATTTAACAATAGGGCTTCTGAGGCATTATTGCACAACATGACTTTTAAGTATGTTTATCTCTGGGCAGTGTCACCAGTCAAATTATTCTTATTGCATTTCATCCAGTAAATCTTGGATGGTAGCAGTGGTGTAGCAATTGGGGGCCCTGGGCTGGTACCAGGCGTCTCAGTCATGTACCCCTGGCATCAATCACCCCCCCGCCCCCTCCTTGGCAGCACCCACCCTGCTTTACTGGTTGGCTGCGATCTCGGGGAGTGAATGGGGGGGTAGGGGGGTTTACGAAAAACATAAGGATGGCCTAGCTATGCCACTGGATGGTAGGCTCAAAATACCGTAAAATACTGAGCAAGTGCTCCTGAAAAATTTGGAGGTGAGCTGTACAAAGTTAGAGGACACCTGCTCCGGAATGGTTAAAAAATTCGAGATGGCCGCGAGCTCAAAGACAAGACAATTAAGTTGTTGTTTAAGGACTTATAAATTATATAACTAATAAATTTAACATTAAAAAAAAAATTGATGAGACGGGGATTGGGTGTTAGCCCCATTGGCGGCATGTGCACGATATGTTTCGCTTTATTTCTTAAGTTGAGCTGCTTGAAGTCTATAGTTGCAAGATTTTGCCTTTACCCACACCTAGCTATCGTTGAAAAAAATCCAAAGAAGTTTAAGATTGACGACAAAGAGATCCGGAACCGCAAGTCTTTCATTGAACAATCCAAAAATGAAGTCAAGGTGAGAGGTCTCAACTTTGTCTCTGTTTATTGCTCCAAACCAGTGTTGGGTAAAGTACAAAGTAAATGAGGGGTTATGTACTTCAAGTAAAGTAGTAAGTACACTGGGTGCAATCTACTTGGAAGTACTATAAATACAGCGTTTTTTCAGGTTAAAGTACAAATACTTTTTAATGCAATCATGGTGAACTTTCATTCCCAATCTGGTGTGCATTGCCCCAAGGTTTATGGGGGGGTGCATCAGTTATTCTTGTAAATGGTGGCAAATTTTGGTAAAGTCAAGTGGCCACAGACTACCGTAAAATACGGCAGAAGCACCTGCTTCGTTCAAAAGTCCACTATTAACATTTCCCAAAGTTGGGAATTCTGCACATTATACGTTAAAGGGATACTTCAATGAAATTTGAAATATACCTGTCATGTTCAGAAATAGGCTTAATATGATCCACATATCTGCAAATAACAATTGCACATTCGTATTTGAGCCTGATGGCTGTATGTTTCGTTATAAAAAGCCCACTCTGGCAAGTGCTCAGAGAGCACGCAACGTCGGGCACAATCGTGACATAGTCTGTCTCGGGATGAGCAAAGCTGCGGCGAGGCTGATGTCGTCAGGATGCCCTAGCCATACCTGCCACCAAAGCGGGGAAAGCATGCCAGCAATTGGTGCCACCGCAACTAACCAACTAACCGCAAAGGTGCTTTGTGTGAATTTTGAGTGACGGGTTGATCTTCTGTAACCTTGTAGAGAGAGAATTGCGCCGTCTGAGACACGCAAAAGAGGGTCCAGTTGAGTGGGGAGTTCCTCCCTCCCCTCTTCTCTTGTGCTTCTCTTGTGGTGGCCGTAGAGCTGTCAAGATGACGTCAGGTTCAAAGCATGTATAGTTGTAGGTGAGACAGTTATTGTCACTACCTGTGAAGGTTCCTAGATGGGCATTACAAACGAGGCTTTAGCGACATCTGCCAGGTGCTCTCTGCTAATCATGTAATTCGGTTTTAAAATTCCTTTTCCTGTCTTTTAACAAGATATTAGTGTGTCCGATGTGATACTGCTCTTTTAAACACGTATAGACCAAAAAATAAGCGCCGAAATCTTGTTGCAGTATCCCTTTAAGTGCCCGATCTGACCGGACAAGTACACACGTCTCGATCAACCCAGTTTTTGGTGAAAGGGATGGGCGCTCCGGTATTTTACGGTAGTTCTTTTACTCTCACTGGCAAACTATTTAACAATCAACTTATAAGGCACCTATTTGTATCGGCCTTGTAGCCACCATTACTTCACTCAGAGCAACGATCAGACGATATCTGGAAAGACGATAGCATGTTTTCACATGATGATACACTGTTTCTTTGTTAGCGGTTTGTGAACTCTTATATTCGCCCCTTTAGTATTTATTCAGAGTTGACAAAGCATCTTTTTGTGATACAAATTTAACGAGGCCAAATTTGGATAGTATACATTGAAGTCGGGGGTTGCTCTTTTCTTGGTAGGTACCAGAAAAAAATACTTTAAGTAAAGTACAAGTACATACTCAGAGAATGTACTTAAGAAAAAAAGGACAAGTTTTCTAAATCTAGTTGAAGAAGTACTTTAAGTATGTTGTACCTAAAGTAATTCCCAAGACTGCCCCTAACCATGCAGGTAGCGCATTGTTGATTACGCGATATGCTTGAGGGTGATGGAAGCTGCAGATGCACAAATCTGTTTTTACAAAACCGGTGCATATGGCGCACGTGATACCGGTTCTTATGACACCAGAGTTTGTAGCTGGTTCTTGCATGTATATTGCACTGTGGAGTGTGAATGCTCTGCGTCCGAGTTCTAGTGTTGTACCCATATCGGGGGTGTTCATAGCAAATTCCCGCATACTTATCGTACCAGGGGACACGAATTCGCCGTGTCTGCGATCCGTGATATCATTATTGACAGGCGAGCTGGTGATGTTAATAATGATGTTTAAAACCCGAGACTTTGGTGAGGGAAAAAATAGGAAACTTTGAAGTCGAAGAGTTCCCGTTTCACGTAACTTGTAATGCCTCCACCCTCCCCTCTTCTTCCCGAGCTTATCACCAATTTTTTAAATAAAAAAAAATTTTGCTGTCACATGGTTTTACCCGAAAGTTTTTCAACATTTATCTTTTCATTTTGGGTGGGTCTTATTTCGGGACTTTACGGTATCTAAGCATACCTTAGAACCTGCTGGCATGTGTTCACCTATCATCTAATCTCTGGGGAAAGCGATAGCTACTCTACAAAACTGAACAAACATTTGGCACCTTTTTTTTCGTGTTTAGGGTGTTTCTTTTTGCTGGGACCGCTTCCGTTCTTTGGGCCGTAATTGTAACAATAAAAGCGATAATTGGTTGCCTCATCTGTAAACTTTCTTGTAAATGACGTACGTGGCAAATACACATTCTGGCACACAAACAGCAAGCCGGCAGAAGGACAAGGAGAGCAGTGGGAATGTCCTGCTGAGCGATGCAAGCTCTAAACTGTTGTGCTAGTATGCATCCAAGCAGTTGACTTGTGATGAAAAACCTTCCATTTTATGGTCTCACTTGCTAGTTTTGTCAGTCACTTTTTTTGTTTTATCCAACTCCTAAACCCACTTTTTCTTCATTCTATACAGTCGTGCTTGTTCTAGTAAGGGCTTAAGTGCATATGTTTGAGCGGGGATGATATCGTGAAGTTTTTAATATTTTGGGTTTATACTTTTATCAGATAGAGTAGCTCTGTTAATTATGAGTATTTGTTAGCTAAACAGGGACTTGGAGCATTTGTATTTCCTAATAAGGAAGAGTGTAGTCAATAAGTATTCGGCTTTATTTCATATTTGCATCTTGAAATGGTATCTTGGTACCATATTTACTCGAGTAGTAGCTGCACTGTTTATGAAGAAAACCTGAGGGTTTGCTTTTCTGCGGAGCATGCAGATTACCAATCACCACGATGAACAGCATGATTCCAGCGGTTTACAGGACAGAGATAATGTTTTCGTGCGAAGATACCATCTGTGAAGATTGCATTTGCATGGAGAATCGTGTTATGTTATGCTACGTTATTTATGCGCAGCGTAATGATTTGCTGTATATGTGTTCTGTGGGAAAGTAGACGCAAGGGTCATGTTCATAAATAGTGCGGCTATTACTCGAGTCAATACAGTATACTGCATCTGGAAATGGTAGATTGCATCTTGAAATGGTTTTGTTTTCAACTTATGGAACTTGTGATTTGGGTTGTTAAATAGACACAACTTTTTGTTTTCATGAGGCTTAAGTTGTGCTTTTGTTGATGCCTTTTATTGGAAATCCATAAGAGGAACCAGCCCACTACCAGGACAGTTCTAAATAGCTGCCATTCAGAGAAATTGCAATTATGCTGTTTGCTTTTTATTCTATGGGCTGGATTATATTTCAGGAAAGGGTATGTTTGGATATGGTTTCCGAACGTCACATGGAAGTGCTTTTTCGTTGTTTTTGTATTTAGAAAAACACCTCTGCACTTACAGCCCCAAGTTTGGCCTGGGTGACTAGCTCCAAGATTTACTTATACTGCTAAGAAACTTGACTTTTGTGGCTGCTGAACTGCTACAAAGCAGAACTTTTATTGTTTCATAGCTGCTCCAAAGGGGCATTTTTGCTGCTTCCAGACCTGCTACAAAAGGTTGAAGCTTGCTTCCACCCCTGGATCCCTTTACTGTAGCTGGCTGACATCCCTCTTGACGTTTAAAGGGTATAATCGAAACGCCAGCTGCTTCGATTACTATATGAGAGAGGCGAGGATAATGAAATTGTCAACTGGTATCGCAGAGAGTTTTTAACAATGCCCCTGTGTCACCCAGTGCATACCAGGCACGGCCGGAGGAATGATTGTTATTTTTTTTGCAGTGTATGAAAGAGAAGGTTCTTGAAAGCAAGTCAAAGAATAAGAAAATGAGGCCTTCTAGTATGGTGAGTAGTGCCTTTCTTTTCTTCTGCTCTGCATTCAATTTTTACTAATGTCTGTTGAAAGATCGAGAGCATGACAAGCCCAAGTGTGAAAAACGTAAAACTTGTTTCCCTAATTTTATTTGTCATTTGCTTAGTACCACAATATAGCGAGAAAGCATCCATCCTAAGTTGCATAAAAGTTTGTTACTGATTGTTACCAAACTTGGGGTGGAGTGAGAAGGTGGGGGGGTGCTCTCCTCATTGAGCAAAGTTTGCCAAGGATTTTGTCTGGTCAGTTCTAAGGTTATGAAAGATAAAAGGTGGCCACCTGCAAGATCATGAGGGGATGCTCGGTATTTCACAGTAGGTGGCTCTCTTGCGGCTGTTTCAGGCATAAGAAAGGCCTCGGGATTGGCAAATACCATATTTACTCGAGTAACAGACGTGGGCAAAGCCTGCGCATCCATTTTCTGCGGAGCACACATATAGTCGATCACCACGATTGAGAGAAGCCCAGCGATATATGAGGTATAGAAAGCATCCTTAGGTGAAATACTTTTTTGCACCGATTGCATTTTTGTGGAGAATCACTTTCTCGACCTCGTTATTTGCTACATTTCTTACCCTGAACGCAATGACGATTTTATGTGTGCTCGCTGGAAAGGTGGATGGGCGGCCGTAATTAATACAGAGAGCAAGTCGTCTGCTGCTTGCACAGGGGTTGCAACGATGCCAGAACGCCGAGCTGATTGGCTGATAGAAAAAAGAAAAGATAAGGTAGACCTCAAGGCATCTAGCATTGAGGTCTACCCACTATCCTTTCAAACAAAGCCAATCAGGCCTCGGCGACGTTATCATGTCACCGCAACTCCCGTGCAAGAAGCAGTCGACTTGCTGTCTGCATACTACCTAAAAGACCAGACCCACGCACTGCGTTGTCGTCGGCGGATCTCAGATCCACCCCAAGTGGTGAACACGCCGAAGCTCGCTGAATGTACGCTGCAGTGCGGCAGACACACGCGTCTCGGCGTCTCCACGAGCTAGCGTCTACACAGTCACAAGACGCTGCGAGGTGCCGGCGCGGCAAACACTGATGGGAGCTGGCCAGCCGTGCGGATTTATTAGTGGAGTAGAGGTGCGGGTGAATACTCGAGTGATTGCGTCACTTTTCTACCGTGTGCGTGCCGATCGAGTTTCCAGCATTGCATACACTGGAGACGGAGGATGTCCCATGTCGCGACCTAGACGGCTTGCATCCTGCGTTTTGATTTTGAGCGAGCTTGTCTGCCCGCAGGAGCTGTTCAACCCCTCTCGGACGGCCAAGTACACGAGCCTGAGGAACGAGGTAGAGAGTCCCATCCGACGTCTGCTCGACACAACCCAGAGGCAGCAACAGGTGCGTGGGGATCCCGGGCGGCACGGACGTCTTACGAATGTCCGTGGGACGTCTATGGAATGTTGGGACATCTCAAGGGGTTCTGCAGAATCATGCGTGCGCTCAGGCACTTGACAGCGGGTTCGGACACATTTGCGAGGCAGTATAAAACAAAGGTTTTGTGTTTTTGGTATGCACCGATAAATCCTGAAAAGCAAACCCCCAGGAGCCAGTTTTGTTCGTCGGGGGAATGTTGAAAAACCTTGAATTCAAACTGTTGTTAAATATAAAAGATCTTGAATTAGAGTTGTTCTTGAATAGAAAAAACCTTGAATTAAACTTGTGCTTTACTAGGCAAAACCTTGAATTAGAGCTGTGCTTGGATAGGAAACACTTTGAATTAGTACGGCCTCCTCTAAGCTGCCTGCAAGGTTGCTTCATTCTTCAGGCACCATGCCCACTGTCTCTTTTTTCTTCTCGTGTTGGTACCAAGAAGTTTTTTAAGTTTTTGGCTCATCCGCATGTTCCCTGGGGGTTGGGGAGTCCCTGTCCCGGTTTCTTCGACACGAGCCTCGATAAACGCAGATATCTTGTCCGACAGCGAAAAACACAAGGTGCATGGGGGAAAACAAACCCTAAAAAAACACTCAATTTCATACTTTTGACACTGACTGCCGGGGCTGGCATTGGGCACGAGCTACCAGGGCAGATGCGCCAAGCCTCGTGCTTGCACCAGGGCCGTGAAAGGGACTGTGGAATGTGGGACCCACAACCCACAGTGCTCGAACCAGTAAAAAAAAAATTTGTGTTTATGCATCAATAACAAGTGCCAAAAGAAAAGAAGAAGAGGTAGAAAAATAGCTTTTTTTTTTGGGGGGGGGGGGGGGGGGGCTTCGGGGAGAGGGCACATAATCATGTCAACCATTCATTGTTTCTCTGCAGCCAATTTTCTGATTGGCGTCTTCTTCGTTTGGGTGCATATGATCTCTTATTTGCTAAATGGTCAGCATGGGTCCCGATACGGTTACTTAACAGTGACAGTACTTATTCACACAATTCATGAATTTCTTTTCATAGTAGACAAGAATGGCCAAGCGGATGGCATTTTTTTAGATTTCACAAAGGCTTTTGATAGTCTCGCACCGGAAATTACTATACAAACTTAAACAGGTACTAAAACATGATTCTCTTTTACGATAGATGGATGCTTACCTTAAGAATCGTCAACAATATGGTACTGTTCGTAAGGCAAAATCTGCAGAATTACCCATTCTTTTAAGAGTACCCCAGGCTCAGTACTCAATCCTTTACTTTATTTGGTGTTTATTAATGATCTGCGAGATTGCGAGCCCCCAGTACAGTAGTAAAAGAATTTAAGTGTCAAGAAATGTGTGCTAATGACATTAACACTGAAAAGGTGTCCACTTTTGTTTATGCTATCAACTCCCTGCCTTTAGAAATCGTCACTTCATATAAGTATCTAAGTGTGGTCATTATGTCCAATTTAAATTGGTTTCTTATATTAAAAATATTATAGCTATTGCGTCCCGAAAGTATGGTCGTTACGCAAGGCAGTGTGTCGTGCCTCTGAAACGAAGCTTGTGGCAAACACCTCTTTGATTCATCCTTTATAGCTGATTCACACGACGGATCGAATCGCGATTTTCCTCCGCAGATTCTGTATCACGTGACTTGCACATCACCGATTCCTGCAATCCACGCCTCGGCCGTGGACGCATAGACTGATAAAGCCAAGCGCCTTTTCACTCGCTGATTTTTGGCGGGAGATTGACTTGAAAATCAGTTAACAATAGTACAATGTTTTATTTTTTATTTTTAGATATTTAAAACAAAAATGGTGCATCGTTGTGTTTTGTGCGTTTGCTGCTTCAATTTATCGCGTGATTTTTGGTTCTATGCGTGAAAGAAACTGCAGACACTTTGCCCGGGTGATGCTACGCACGTTCTGGTACTCCTCCGGGTGCATGTCATGAAGCTTCCGTGTCATGAAGCTTCCGCCGCAATAATTCTTGCACGTCCGATCAGCCTTTCACCGAGCAAGACCTTTTTTCTGTCTGCAGTGTGGTTGGGTGACGTGCATGAGTGTAGATTGCGTGAAGGCATCTCCAAGTGACCCTCCACGAACCCAGAACATTGTCACTTCTACATCGAAGCCTTCTCTAGCAGGACCTTGCCTGTGACACTGTCATGACTTAGTGGCAAAAGCAGTGGCGCTTCGTGCGAGGCCTATCATGGTGTTCGGTCTCGATCTGCACGTAACAGCGGCATACGATTCTTTATCGCAGTAGCAAACATTGATTTCTCTCTTGGACAACGGTGCAATGTTAGAGTTTCGTGGCACTGTCGGGTTGCGAAGAGGTTCGATTCGTCCTTGTTGGTGCCTGCTCGTCGTCTCGCTCGTGTGGATACGCTTGGGAGACGGACAAACGGTGGACATGTCGTTCGTGATCAACTTGTCCTGCAAGTTGGTTCGTCGTGTGAGTCGGCCATTACTGGAATATGCGGACATTCTGTGGAATCTACATTCTCTATCATTTACTGACCAATCGAAAGGCGTTCAAAACAAGGCACTATAATTCATTTATAATGTTTACGACATTTGTAAGTCTGTGTCATCCTATACAGTTTCTGGGTTAGCAGACTCTAGTTATCTAGAAAATTAAAGCGTTTTAAATTTTTGCACAACATAATACACGATAAGATTGCCGTGAACTTCAAGGATTATGTGAGAAACACAAGACGAATACACAATAAACTAATACCCAAAATTTCAGTGCAAAAAATACATTTTAAATATTCATTTTTTCCAAGGTCTATCCTTGATTGAAATGGTTTGCCTTCTAGCATTCCTGCAGTTGAATCTTTTGCTAGTGCTCTTGATGAATTATTTTCATTATAAGTGAATGATTATCATTCCAACTACCAGATCTCGCTAAATAGAATGTCAGTTTATGTATCTCCCTATAATTTCCTGCCCTTATACTGTGTACTCCTCCATACCTTGGCTAGCAAAAGTCGATTCTTAGTATTCTTAAAACAAATAAAGAAATATTCGCTGGATGTCCTTGCCACCTTTAAGAAAATTTGCTTTTCTTGTTTGTAGCTATATTTGAACAAAACCAAATGTACATGTATATAACAGTGTGATGTATAATTTAAATTCTGACACAAAATTAAGTTTCCTTCCCCTCTCCTTTTTTTTTTTTACCATAAAATTTCAAGCAAGCATCCACTAAAAATTTGGAGATAATCGTGCATAACTGGGGGATTGGCGCTTCTTAGGTCAACAACATGTGAAGCTATGTCCTTCAAGTATTTTTAGAACATTACAAAATTGAGGGGTGGGCACTTATTGTGGAATGAACGAATACTCAGTATTTTACGGTGTTTCTTTTTGTCCAGTGCCTCGCGTTGCCCAACGCCGGCCTTGCTGACTATTCTCGCACGGAACCCTACGTATGACGTATTGGAAAGCCACAAGAGGATGCATAATGCTAGGGTGATTGATTCAAAGAAAAAAGGAGCGATAGCACTTCTTGCAATAGATGGTGCGGTTGTGCGAGATGCAACGGCGACAAAGTGGTTATTCCTTGCGATCATGTGTGTTTTTGCGTACGGACGTTGCAGGCTTTCGCGGGAAAGGGGCACTAAGAGCTGTTACCATAAAACATGCCGCCCCATGTTTAAATGAAGAGCAACTGCATCCGCTGCTCCTGGGCCAGCAGTGCGTCCCGAGCCCGCATTTTGGCTTGGGCGTGTGTCAGCAGCAACTGCGGCTCGGATGTCGGTCGCGAGGGGTGTCGGTCTCGTCGTCGCAGGAGCTGATGGTGAGCCAGGACGAGGAGCTGGAGGGCATCCAGAAGTCTGTGGGCAGCCTCAAAGTCATGAGCAAGCAGATCGGCAACGAGCTGGACGAGCAGTCGGTTATGCTGGACGACCTGGGACACGACATGGACAACACCGAGTCCAAGATGGACGGGGCCCTCAAAAAGATGGCCAAGGTGCTGCACATGTCCAATGGTGAGTGCGGCCGTCCGTGCTGGGGCCACCCGATCAGAAATGTTCAAGCGGGAGTCCTCAAACTTTGCTATTTCGAGGACAACCCTACCGGGCATAAATAACGGCTGAGGAAATCCCCACTCCCAGTCTCGACGCTGATGTGGTAAGACAGTGCAGAATTCTGTGGAGCCTATGCGGACAGCAAGTCGTCTGCTTGTTGCGCAGGGGTTGTGGTGTTGTCAGAACGACGCTGAGCTCCGATTGGCTTTGATCGATAGTGGGTAGACATAATGCTGATGCAATAAAACAGCGCAGAATTCTGTGGAGCCTATGCGGAGAGGCCTACTTACAATTTTATTCAATCAGTCAATAAAAACTCGGCACTTTTGACATCAGCGCCTCCTGTGCAAGAAAATGACAAACTTGCGCTCCACATGAACAATAATGTGCGTTCTAGGAAGTGCTTTGCCTCATGGTTGTGCATCAATAAGTGGCTCGTATCTGCTAAAATAGTGCTTAAATCGGGGAAACACTTTCCCCCGAGAGTCGGGGACGGCCGAGGAAATTTGGGAGCCCGGCAAACTGCGAGGGTGCTCTGGGGAATCCCCACGCTTCCAGGAATCCAGTTTGCAAATCTCTGGTCGAGAGTGTCGATACATTATCCCTTGGCCGTCTTGTGGGCTTTGTTGCCTGGCGTAGTGCGAGTGCAATAGGCTCGTTCCGAAATTCAGTCTGGCCACTTCGATAACTATCATCGCCTAAGTGTATGTTATCTGTACATGCTAATGGCGGCCTTTTCATGGCTGGTGTAGGAAGAATTTGAAGACGAGAACCGATGCGAAGCCCGAGCATCCAGACAGTTTGCTGTATTGTTGTTCGACGTCGCCGTGACGAGACTTACAAGCTTCTTTGCACAATGCCCCTTTGCACTCCGCATTTGAGGGCGTTGTGCAAGTCCTCGGCATGCTCTACTTCGGCATACCCCGGACAGCTCGCGGCATTAGAATGTATGTTTTATTGAAGTTTACTCAACCAAGTCCCTCGTACGGAATGGTAGTCTCTTGGCACCATGCAAACAAAAGCAAATAAAGAAATAACTGTTTGGTGAAAAACGTTGTATACGTCTACCGTTGGTGAATAGGTACTAGATTTGATCTGCCATTAGCTTAATTTAGACTGATATTTCAGCCACTAGATGGCACTGAACTTGTGAAAGGGTTTATTGGCGATCGTTACAAGTAGAAAATATGAGTTCCCGAGCTTTGGGCACGACGTCGGGAAGCCCGAACATCATTCTTGCGCCCTCGCGTAAACATTTAAACTTTTGGTCTCATTTTTGAATTAAGCCGAAGTTCAGCAGCTAGATTTGTAGAACTTTTTCTATACATTATTCTGACCTCCTTTTCCTTGTAAAGAGCAGCTCATTGGCTACATTTTGCTGTATCATAATGAGCCATATGCCGATTAGTTGTGTTAATAAAAATCGTTCGTTCATCTCTCAAGAACAGCCCATTGCGTGGAAAGTTAAGCAGTAGTTTAGCACGTCTGAGCCATTCATTGATGGATAGGTATGTGCCGGACATGCCCAGTGTGCTCATTACTGTTAGCATACGCACTGCTTAAAGGGGTACTTGGCCAATTTTTGAGCTGCCCAAGGTAACTACATTTATGGTATACTCAAGCATGTCATTTAGTACCCCTTAATTAATCTTTAAATTCTGAACAATTTTCTTAGTGCTGCCACAAACAGCATTCAAATTTTGCTACACTTTTCAGTGGCATGATGTCGCTGGCAGGCATACCTTCAGCTTGAGCAGGCAGTCTAGAAAACAAAATGTCCCACACTGGTCACCCTAGGCCTAGCAAATAACGAGACCAACAATGTTGGGATCCAAAATGTTAGACTGCACTAGGGCCGGTACTGGTATGCTAAGCATGATGATCTCATACTTAGCATTTATTTATTTACAAAAGAAAACCTGCAGCGCCAAAACTTTGGCAGGTACAGCCCATGGATGCTTAATGGAGATCTAAAAAACAGTACACTTGAATCAGTCATGTGTAAGTTACTTTTAAAAAGTAATTCGTTACAGTTACTTTCAGAAAAAAGTAGCGAAGTTACCGTTACAGTTACCGCAACAAAAGAGTAACTCGTTACAGTTACAGTTACTTTTAAAAAGTAACGACGTTACTTTACAGTTACTTTTCTATAACACAAAACAAAATTTTAGAAAAACTAGAAAACGCCCCTCACATTGTTTTATTGCATAAAATTTAAAAAAAAGTATGCTTTTTACTTCATATTGTAACTTAGCAGCAGTTGCTTCTCCAAGTTAGTGCTTGAAAGTTTCCACGCCAGAGTAGTGGCGCAAATCAAAATACGAAACATGCGCAGTGCGGAGTAGTGGCGCTAATCAAAATACGAGACATGCGCAGTGCCCTTCACGTGTATTATTGTTTTACGGTTGATTCACCCGATTAAAAAGCGTTTGCACAGAAAAAAGAAAAAACACAGCAGAGGTAGTTCTTCAAGACACTAACCGCCGAATTCCAGAAACCTCACTCAAACTACACTGAAACTGAAGGGCCCCTCCACTTCCTGAAGGAAGGCGCGAGGGCCGGCGCTGGCCAATCGCGAGGACGGATCCGCCGTCGCGATTGGCCAGCGCCGGCCCTCGCGCCTTCTTCGAGGAAGTGGAGGGGCCCTTCAGTTTGAGTAGAGTTCGAGTGAGGTTTCTGAATACGGCGGTAAGATGGTAGTGTTTAGGCACGAAGTACAAGCGCGTGCGTAAAGATAACTAGGTATTTTTTCATAAAATCTACACGTGGCTATATTCGGTTCGTGACTCGCGAGAGAGAACGTATTCACAACTTTGTGCAAGGCCAACTTGACACTCGAAATTTCGGAATAGACGATTTGGAAAGTGCAAGGAATGGCTTAATTGCACCCTCGTTCAGTGATATATTATTCATAAAACACTGCAAAGTAACGACAAAAGTAACGTCGTTACTTTCATCGTTACTTCAGAAAAAAGTAATAGAACTAGTTACAAGTTACATTTTTAAAAAGTAACTCGTTACAGTTACAAGTTACCAAAAAAGTAACGAAGTTACAGTAACGCGTTACTACCCAAGACTGACTTGAATATACAGCCTCGGCTGTCAAAAAAGAGAATACATACATAAACAAAAAATCAAGACCATTTCCCGAGAAGAATAATCCCACATTATTAATAAAAAAAAAAAAAAAAAAAGACTTTGGTAACAGGTTTTACTGAGGAATTGTGTCTGGAAATATTTAAAACTTCTTATAATCTGTTCACAGAAAATTTCCCTTACCTTTCTGGAATGATCCATACGATTTGAAATATAGTTAGGCAATTCTGTGTATTCGCTTTTATCAACACCTGTCAAATCGTTAAAAATTGCAAGCAGGAACCTCAGTCGAAAATCTTTGCGTCTTAACAATAAAGTTTCTCAACCAAGTACATTTTTAATCTGTTATAATTTTTTAATCTCCATTATAATTTCCTGTTACAAATTTCGCCGCTCGGTTTTGAAGTTTCTCTAATTTATCTGCAAGGTACTGACATTCCATTGCATTTCTCTCTCTGTCAGGTGGTTATTGCCGACTAGTCGTTCGCTGGTGTCTGTTCGCAATTCCCCGTGGATAGCTGGCAAGAGGTTTGGATGGCACACTTATTGCTCTACATTTATGATGTCAGGTCAAGGTTATGACTTCGGGACGATGGTTTTCAGAGCCCATCCACCCTCGGTAACATCAAGTTCGGGGGCGTGCACAAAGGCATAGTATGACCAAGTATTTTACTAGGGTGAAAACTGGTCACCGCACGACTGCAACACCTCTGGAGGCAACGCATGTTTCCTCCAAACGCCACATCAAGATGGCACTGGTGGTCGCTGCAACAACCTTAAGCCTTTGCAGAAGGGAGACATATAGAATACTATTCACTCTGTTTTACATTCACTCATGCTAAATACAACGGGTCACCGGCAATGCTGGGCACACTGCCCAATCAGGAGGGCTTCGTACAGGGCAGGTTCCTTACGGTACGAAGCTTACCTAACCTTGCGCCGGATACGACCGCGAGTCACTGAGATACCCCTGCTTCGTACAAAACGTTGCAACCGATTAAAGGAAACAGCTTGGCCCACGGAATGCGCACCACAAATGTGCTGGTGACTTTTGGTTGTATCTCGATGCAAGGTTACATAAATTCGCAACGTGAGAAAACGGCGCTGAATTAACCAGCCTTAACGGTTCCGTCTCACGCAGATGGGGCAGGCATCCAGTATTCTTCGGGTCCCTTGTGAAAAGTTTCATGCGATCACGGGCTCTGTGGCAGTTCCCTCAACACCACCAAACAATTTGCCCTACCACGATACCCCTCTTACCGTTCAAAGCGAGAAAAAGTTCTACCAAGGACTTTGCATGGAGCACATGGCCAATCGTGGAAAGCCACTAGTGGCAACTTCTAACGCACAGCGTGTTTTGGTGGCCGAATTTTACGAGAAAACCGTTGCAAAGAAAACCCTCGCATCAATTTCTCCAATAAACTTGGCGGGGAAATTGATGTCCCGTGACATCCATCTCCTAGCTAAATTTGGCGGGGAAAGTGTCGCGACGCGACCACGTCGTGTTACCTCGAGTCATGACATCAATTTCTGCGATGTGGTAGTTTGTGCCAAATATATTCTATGCTGCGTGGTCTTTTGTCAGCATGATCGAGCTTGCGTAATATTTTTGGCACGGTTGTGCGTGTTACTAATAGAACCACACTGTGCTTTGAGTGCTCCAAAACAAGATGGGGGCGTGTTTCTGTTTGCAGATCGCCGGCAGTGGATGGCCATTGGAGCTCTGTCGGGTGTCATGGTCGTGGTGGTGGCTCTCTTCTTCCTCCTCTAGAAGCCTAGGTCTTCGCCTGCAGCTTAAAACAAATTTGCAGCTTGGCAAACACCTGCAACTGAGCGATTCCACGGGGGGCCATCGACAGCCGCAACAGTCCCTCAGGGGACGAGCCACCATTTTATTGTTATTGTGATGTAAATACTACATGCACGTGTCTACTGCATACATACACCATACAATTGTATGCGTCTCGGACGCCCAGTTTCTCCCTATTATATTATGTGCCATAGGGTGAATACGACTCAACGATAACCCTTTTTGGTTGAATGGTCTGGTCTACGTTTTTAAATAAAATGTGATGGATACCTCAACCCGCAAGCCTTGACTGACATTCCTTTAAAGGAGACGACACAGATTTTGAGGTATGTTACCGAGATCAGCGACACCCAGGGGAAAGAGCGCAAAGCAGGTAAGTTTAGGGTGCGGCGAGTACTGTCGCACTGAGGCGGCAAGCGTCTAGAATCGGAAACACGTCGACCCTACAATGTACCCACCTAGCCCAGCTGAAATCACACAGACCCCGGAGACGAGCACATGTAAGAAAGACTAGGAATGCTCCCAGGGGAATCGCACAACCATGCAAGCTAGGCGGACGCTTCTGGCAGCCGGGGACAACGCAAGTTCAGAAGAGCGCAATGCCGTGTCGTGGGTGGTGCATACACCTTGCACCTTCTTTGGGCCCCATCTTCACGGCCGTCACACTACATGATGCTGCAGATCTGACTCTGGAACGACTGCTGGTCTGCACGAACGCCGTTAGACACGTCGATGTAAGGTTTTCCAGATCCGCTGTAGGCGTAGCATTTCTTAGTCTCCCCATAGGATAGGAAACTGGAGGGCCTCTGCTTCTCGCTGCGCTCTTGAAAGAGGACGTGGGACGTGTCCTCATAACGCCTTTTGATGTCCCCAACGGATTCTGCAATGCCAGGGATGGTCGATGCCTTGTTCATCCCCTCGAGTCTTCTGTGGAAATGGGAGGCCCTGCAAACAATGCAACACATTTACAGCTCATTCTGAGAAGTTGATTCTGTTGTCTGGGGGGGTCTCCCACATGGGATATGCTATGCTCTCAAGCATGCATAAAAAACGGGAAGCCAAAGGGCCAGCCTCCAACTTGGCAAAACTCTTGTCTGGCCTTCCCCCTTCCTGCCTTGGCTAGGTTCTTTGCTGCTGAGCACAGTGGGGTATTAGTGGCCCAGTGGGCTAGCGCACACCAGCTCGGAACACGTGTAGCAAAAGCTTGCACAAGAAAACCCAGGGATCCTGAATTTCACCCCCACTGCTGCTTAATTCGATCTGAATGAGCATCATACTTGAAAGCGGTCGTGTATCGCAACTGCGTGATGCATGGTAGAGACCCCAGGCTAGTAGGGATATTGCACTGGCTAAACGTCTCGTTTACAGTGGGGACATCAGGCACCCATTGGGGCTGGCCAACTTCTGGCTGTCTCGGCATGTGCACGGGTCCATATCAGATGAGCGAATGACAATTTAGCAAACGGCAATCATTTGAGCAGATCGACGTATTAGCGAATGACTGGGGACACGTTAACCTACCTGCAACCCCCCCCCCCCGCCGTTTTGCGGTGACAGTCTGCGGCGGCTCATTGCAAAAGAGTTAACTGACCTAGCTCACCCGTAAACGCCGCTTTGCAGTGGCCGACCATTTGCTGAAGTGTCTCAGTGAAAAGTCTGCGTTCGCTAAAACGTTGTTGGACCAACTGAGTGCCACCCGTTATGAGCTCGTTGTGATTTGTCCCATCCTGCAAAATCGTCAGACCTGCTGAAGAAGGTTTGGCAGGTTATCCTTCAGGCACATAACGGTGTGCACCTCTTCAAAAATCTTGAAGTGTGTTTTTTTTCCAACCATGGAACTACATTTCCCTCGAAGACAACTTGTCCGGTGGTTTTTAAACATCTTTTAAAAACAGCCAAAGCAGTACAGTTTTTTTTTTTTTTTTTTTTTTTAATAAACTCGTTATCAACCGCGAATGGAACACATAATACCGTTCTAAAGTGATGCAGAGGCTACAAGAGAATTTCTTGGAGCAGAGTCCCAGCATTCTCGGGGCATCCCATGAACCACGTTTAGGAAAATGAGCTTACAAGAAGGTTGATCGAGTTTTAAATACAACCCGAATCCTTCACCGCGGAAGATTAGCACGACCACGCAAAAAGCACATAATTCGTTTCAAAGAAAGAAACAAAAACAGACCCGTTCGATTTCGTTGGAAGACGTCTGGATAGCACCTCTCGATCTTACGTAGTGCGTTTTTATTTTGTCTCGGACAGCAAGGTGACAGCATTCTATGGGTCAGTCACGTTTTACAGCTAACTTTCTACGGACCGGAAACACGGTAGTTAGATCTGACAGAAACACGGAAATCACAACCGAGGGCAGCAAGTGCACGGCCTTCCATCACCTGAATGCTGCGGACACAAAAATTGCACAGAACAAACATACCTGCTTATGTCATGAAGGGTTCATGATCTCGACGATTTCTCTGGCGATTGATATGGTCGTGCATAAGTTAGAAACTTCAACCACGGGCTACGCTAGGCGTAACCTGTTTACCAAATACCCGTGACTGCTGACATAGCACTATTTTTAATTGGTGTGCGAGTAGTACAAGCAGTACGATCGTCGAGCACCCGCTTTGCTTCGCTTCACACAATAATAACGCTATTAACCCAATAAAGCGGCGCCATATTGCGATGTTGGGCAGCAGCTAAATAGATACGTAAACAGAAACATAAATTGATAAAATAACCTTCGTAAGAAAGGTAGCTTGCGCCATCTATCCTACAATATTTACACTGTCATCAAACTTTTGCCTCGCAAACATTACGCATTATTTCCTGTGTCATTTCACACTTTCCTAGAAATTTTTGCAATTATTGTAACATTCTTTTTGTGGTTCTAAAATTTTTGAGTATCGTTCATGACCACAGCTCTTTGCTTGATCGCGCTTCCCCGCTCCGCGAGTGCGGCCTACGGTACCGGACGGCCATCTTATAGACCTTTGTCCGGAAGTGCTCTTTTTAGCCTCGACCGCAAGGAGCAAAAGCGAACAATAATCTCGAACGCAGACGCTCACGGGGTGGGGGGGCTGCGTCGGCCTGCGCCGCCGCTTCCCGTTGAGGGCTTCTTCGCTGGTGTGCCGACTGCCGTTTCGCCGGCATCGGTCCTGTTTACCGCGGTATGTGAGTATAGTGCCCATAATGTGAGAGCCGTGTGTCCATAGGCCACTTTGCCACTGTTGGTTTCCATCTAGCCGAGCCAGAAAACATCTCGCGACGAGTTGACCGCGCCGCGAGTGACGAAGAAGAAGCAAACATGGCGACGGTTTGTGCGATTGCTTTGGTGGCTCCGGTGTTGAGTGTCTTCAACGTCCTCGTGGGAAGGTTCCCCCGCCCTTCGAAGTTATTGCAAGCACCACGAAAGATGTAGAATCATCGTCTCAACTACAAGTAAGCAGGCCTTCACGAGCAACAACGGTGCCGCGCAGGCGCTCGGCACAGTTGTGTCAGGCTCACGCGCAGTTGTGTTGGTTGTGTCGTCAGATGTTCAACAACGCCGAGGTATTTTCATTTATCATTTGGAATGGCTTCAAGAGTGGGAAATTAATCTATTTCGCGGATTGTTAACGCCGAGGCGAGTGCCCTCCGTTGCAGTGCCGTCGTCGCGCAAAGTGCAGAGAAAACCGGGTGGCGACGGCGGCGGTGCTCTTTGATCTTGCGCCGTCGGGTTCATGAAGTCCGGAGTAAACGTACGTACGTGCGTCTGCTGGATCGGTGTTTTGGACTTCCTCAAAACACTTTCTCACGCGCATTTTCCTTGTGAAGCTTAGTAGCTCATTACACCTCATCGTCGACTGCGCTCATTTGACTACGACGGACGAGCCTGAGTGATGTGAATTTCACTGCCTAAGATCCTTGGTGTGCTGTAACGAGGGCTAATAAAATATCACCGCGAACTTCTGAACAAACGAGTCGAAGTTTCGTCTGCTATCATAACTGATCGCCTGTCACAATATTAATCAGTAGCGTTCCTAGACTCCGCCCCCACAGGCACCGTGCTTCGTTGCCCGATAGTAATGGCCCGTTCACACGATGCATTTTTCTCGCGCATCTAGTGTCGCGAAACGCAGTTTCGCGAAATGGTTGCGCCGTCTGAACGAGTCCGAAAAGGTCGCGCGCATCTAAAAAAGGTTGCGCGCACACCTCGCTTCTGGAGCGAGCTTTTGCTGAAACTTTGCCGAGTCCTGTCAATCACTCTGAGGGCGCCGCCAATGGCCGCTCAGAAACGCTCTCATGTGGCCTTTGAGGGGGGAGCGAGCTGTTTGAGAAGACCACTTCGCTGCCAGTGTTGTAGCCGAGCCAAATCCGAAAAAAAAAAAGAAACGAAACCAGGAACGATGGATACTACCGGCGCTTCCGCAAGCGCGTCAAGCACCACTGAAGGATAAGTGAGTAGCATATCGGAAAAAAAATCCAGCGATGGACGAAGACAATTGGCCTCATTCACACAGCCGGCGTCTCGCCCCGTCCCGGCGAAAGCGCCCTGGGCGCCGTGCCGAAAACGGGACGGTGCGGGGACAGAGGAGTGTTCGAACCAGCGGCGGCGGAGCTGCCGGCAATGCTGGCGGTTTTTAGAATGTGGCGGGAGATGGAGAACACTACGCTGAATGGTTAATGGTGATGACGATGATGTTGGCTTTCAACTGAAGCGCCACTTTATGGTCAACACCCAAACTATTTTCGCGAGTCTAAACGTCATCGTTGTTGCACGTGAAGCGGTACGTGTGAACGAGCACATTTCGCGAAACTTGAGTGTCGCGAAACTGTTGCGCGCCTAAAAGATGCATCGTGTGAACAGACCTTAAGTGTCTCCTGGTACCTCGTAGAATTCCAGCTCCCACTTCAAGTAAGTACCATCCTTTAGAACTGGCAATTAAAAGTTTCGAACCCAGACGCTCGCAGTGTGTATTTGTGTGTGTGTGTGTGGGGGGGGGGGGGGGGGGGGGGGGGGACGCGTGCTAACATACTCGGAGCCCTCGTTTACGCCGCTTCGCAGCGGCAGACAAGGTGCCACATTACAAAAGAAAGGTAATCCGAGCTGTCTATGTAACTAGACCCATTCGCTAGTCATTCGATGAAACGTCGTGGTCTCGTTTTCATTCGCTAAAACTGCGTTCGATCAAGTGAACGCCTCCAACTTATTTCGGCTCGGCAGAGCCGCGCTGCCGCAGAAAGGCAAGCAGATCGCGAAAATCGGTCTCAAACGTGCCACGAATGTAATGTCGCATAC